CTGGCTATATATGATGCTGTGTGCATCTTTTGTAGAACTCTGCATCTCACTTCATTACCTTCATTGAAACTTCTTGTTTCACATTGAGCATTGCAGGGATCTTACCTTTATTGCATTCATCCAGTACTGGAGTTGCTTTCTTGCCTCTTCAGACTTATATCTCCACTGAAAGCAAACAGCCCTCCATTCACCATTCCATCTGTATTTTTACAGTTCTTCTAATGTCAGCGAGCCTCCAAGAAACTCAGAGCAACTATAGCAGTTTTGTCCTCCTTCGCTTTCTCTTTGTCTTCCTAATTTTGTTCATTCCCTTCTGTGACCACTGCATGAGCCTCCGATCACTAATTCACACTCTGCCTCGCAGGTTTACTTGTTAAACCCCACGCTATCACTTGTACTTGGGTTTAGACAACTACAGCGATGGGTTATCCCACCCCATTTACCCCCATTTTTAGTAGGTGTCCAACTGGTCATTATCTGCCCTTGATTCTTCTGCCTTGCAAAGCTTCCAGCCAAATCCATAAACAATATTATTTTTCTTTCCAATAAGTCTTGTGAACTTTAGAAAGTGGAATTTCTCTTCCATTTTTCATTCAGGCTAATCATCTGGGCCACTGCAAGATTTTTTCAAACTAGCCCATGCTGCTGCCTGCTTACGGGCAGCTCTCTTCATGTTTCTGCATCATACTTGCTAGTTTCATCATTATTACAATTTGACCAATCAACTGAGTTGCCGATAAGAGTAGTAACTTCAGATGTACTAGGCAGTAATTGTCTTGGCAGAAAAGCAAAGGTTTTGAACCATGTCTATAGCAGCCATAGGCAAAGAAGGCCTCTGGGTAGGGCTGAGGTGGTTGCTGCTATCAAGCCCAGCAACTTCTGACACACCATGGCAGTCATAGTTGTATTCAGCCTGACACGTGAGAGGCATTTAATTGAAATGAATTATTTGATTTGTTTTTCTACTGAGCTAATAAATCTGAATAGACTTTATCCTTTTTTATCTGCAGAAAAGAGCTCCCTTCTTTCTGCATGTTTATTTCTGTTAACATTGCTCAATAAACTTTTTGAACTTTCATTTTTTACAGCACAGGTAATTCATGGAAAAGGACAGATATGTAACAAAACAAATGTGTGGATGATGGCACTTTCATTAGTAATATTGACAGCGTTCATTGTGGCAGCTATCATTGGAAGTGTAATGCTAAAAGGTAAGTTCTGTTCTCCTTTTTATAGAGGATAATTATGTCTACTGTCTTTCAGAGATTACAAAGTACAAAAAATGTAACAGAAAATGTGAATAATTATACATGTCAAAGAATCATGATAAGCTTTAGATATGAAATGTTACAAATTCTACATCGGCATGACCTCCATAAACATTAATACAATGCAGTCAGAGTTGACACATAGACTTGATCAGCCTCTGGACAGACTGCTGTGGGATGTTCTCATAATATTCCAGTGTAGTTCTAGCAGCATGGTGAAAGCCAGCTGATGGCAGTTGTCATCTGACAATAGCACTAACAAGTGGGACCCATAGCCGCTCTTGCACTCAAATCATGAGAAAAAAACAGACAATGGCTAGATCTTGACATGGGTTTCTTGAAATCATACTATTACTATCTTAGTGTTCTGTGGTCTTGCATGATCCTGCTGGAAATGTGGCATTTCCAGATTGGGTTGCAGGAATGGAAAAACTGTTGGCTCAAGGACTTCCTAAATGTTCTGCTAAATAGTAAAGTTACGATCAAACTTTCTGACATTAAAAGATATTCCTCCTTGCATAGTCACACTTACATGTCCCCGATGGTTTGCTTGACTATTGTAACAGTCAGCCTAACACTCACAATGTCTCCCTATACTTCTTCCATTAGGTCTGTCGATGACAAAACAACCTCCAACCATGAATAAACTCCACTGTTCTCTACAGCCAAAAGAAGACAGTGATTTAATCTCACCGCTGTCAACATGTTATGACAAAAAGCCTGCTCATTCTTTCCATGCAGACAGTGAGCTACGGACATTCTGTTGATATGTTGGCTTATTCCTGACTTTTCTCATGCTGGGAGCTTCTGCAGTTTGCCAACGATTCCACATATGAACCAGATGCAAGTAATGGTCTTGGGCCAGTTTGGGGACCAGCTGCATTACAGGACATGGCTTGTCCCTCACTGAGCTGGACTTCCAGTTTCTCTGGACTAGCCGACTGCCAAACATTTCATTCTCTAGGCAACTGCTCTCACCAATTTCCCAGCTTCACTAATGCCAAAGCCAACTGGGCCATCTTCATAACTGCAGCCACTATATGAATTAAAAAAATGAGTGAATTTTAGAAAAACTTTCTAAACAGATTCTTACTCAGCTCATTTTGACCATTTTAACTCAACCCAAATACCAAACATTAAGCAACTAACATTGCTATGAAACCACATGGTATGAACTCATTATTTTGTATCCCAAGAAGCAGTACTACAGTATATCAACAAATCTATCTCCTCCATATTTGAAGTCTCAGTTACTGTACATTATATAAGCACCAAATGATGTAAAGCATAAAGTGCAATATTTTGATTGTGCTTTGGAAAGACTCCATGCAGATATTAAATATATACAACAAATAAAGTGCACATTTCATTTTGCACTGAATAACATTTATAGTTCTTTTTCAAAAAATCACATAGGGACTTTGTTTGGTAAAAATGGGATTTTAAAGTTGTGTATGTGCAAAAAGGATATGCTATCTCATTCCTTTAGAAAACCGAGGGGTATATACAATAGTCACACAAATTTGTATGACTATTTCTAAAAGTGTCTCAAAAACATTTAAGTTAAATTATTTGCCAATTTTATTTTAATGTTTTTTACATATCTTCAGTTATTACCATAAAAATATAATAATTAGCATTACTTCTGCATCACAGTCAGGTCCTTTCCCACTTAGTGTATCCAGTCTTGAACAATATTAATTTAAATTATTTATTATTTGTAACACATTTTTACTTTGTAAATATTTATTTGTTGTTACTGTTATTTTAATTTAATTCAGCATTTCATCCCTACACCTAACTAATCTTTACTCTGGAAATGTACCAGAGAACATTGTGGAGATTCCAGTGCTGACAACAATATGCAAAGAGTGTTAACAACATCCCTGCATAAATAGAAAGTATTTTCTAAAGGTTATCACAAAAGAATCCTTTGTAAGACCATGTTTCAAAATGAAAACCATGTGATTCACATGGCATTCCGTAGGTTATTCAAATAACTAACACATGACTGATGTATTTCTGACCTTCACCCTCAGCCTGAGGTGACAGCTCACTATACACTGCCGAGTGAATTGTTTAAATGCCAATCTAAAACAATAAAAACAATCTGCAGAGATGCTAATAATATAATCACTATTTTTGTCTAGTTAAAAGAATGCATTGAACACCTTTGAAAACCCATTAGAAATAAATGTAACAGCATTTTGCCACAGGCAATGTACTATATTGCTTTGCGTTCAACCACGACGAAGGCATCATCGGTGATACCCCAAGCATAAGTGAGATTCCTAGCATGCTTGGGGATTTTCGTCTAAGTATTGTGAAACACTTCTTTTCTTTGGGAGATGTCCCAGACTCCACTGTACTTCACGATTATTTATTCCTTTAAAGGTTAAAAAACGTTTCTTGAAACACTTTTGTGAATTCAGTGTCTATTGGTAGAGTATATGTTGTAGCTCTGCTCAGAGATTGCCCTGTTGGAAGGAAAAGTAATAAGAATAAGAATGAA